TCTTGCATGTTGAATTTCCACGTGTGCATGGCAATGTGGACTCATTTTAACAATAATACAGTAAGTCCACTAAACTGAAACAAGAAAAAAATATAAAACAATACTATGTTTTGGAAAATTTCATTTATAAGGTTTAATAAGTGAAACTAAATTGCTTTATCACTCATCAAGATTTTCTAGGATAAAATATTCGTCAAGTAAATTTAATACTATATGAGAATAAAAGCATAATCTACATAACATTTCACCAAAAAAAGTACATGTTAATTGAAATAAGGAAACAGATGCAAGAAAGAAACATAATCTTCTCCCATTAAATATACAGAGCTTACTTTGATTTACTATGTTCATTGTTGAATTAGTAGCGGTCGATGAATAAATTACGGATCATTGTAAATTTGCACATTCTAAGAGCATCTCCAACCGATGCCAAAAACGCAAACGTAAACTCAAATTTGCTCCAACTGATCGCTAAACGCAAACTCAAAATGGGTATTTGGTGTGTTTGTCCCTGCTACAAACGCAAATTTGCGTTTTTACTGTTCATGAACGCAAAATGTTTTGTGTATATGCAGTTTAGTCCTTTTACTTATTTTGCCTTCATTTTGTGTTATGTATATTTTGTTTATTTGTTTATTTGTGTTATGTAATGAAAATGATACGAGACTATATATATGTCTGTTCAGATATTCCTTAATATTTATACGTGAATTAAAGTCAATTTAAATAATATATTTTTTAAAGTAATAATTATCATATATTTATCCTTAATTTTATGTATGTCAATATATTAGTATATATATATATATATATATATATATATATATATATATATATTTAATTTTTCGATTAGCACTACAAGATTAACATTAAAGACTATAATAAATCACGGTTTACTTATTGAAATATTGAAATACATTACGAATACATATTGAAATAACACTAGTACATGATAGATCACGGTTTAGGAAAAACATTTCAATAATTAGTGAATTGCAATTTTTAATTTTATTTGTGTGCTGAAATTTTAATTTTTAATGAATACTTATTTCTCCGATTTTATTTTGTATAATTAATTTTAATTACATAAAGTCCAAATTGAATTTAAAATAATAGTGTGGTTCAATTTGTAAAGTTGTAAAATATGTGGGTAGTATTGAAAAGTTATAAAAGTTGATGTAAAAGAGAATATTTTGAGAATATTCTTTTGGGATTGAGAATGAGTTTTTCGGTTGGAGATAAATTACTGCAAAATGGGACAATTACTGCAAAATGGGTTTGAGTATGGGTTTTTCGGTTGGAGATGGTCTAATACCCACACCATTTAATGCCAACTTGAACGTACTTTCATCAAACTTACGATTCCTTGATTGAAATTACAAAAATTAGATTTTTTATGGACTATTATAAGGCCTTAAAAGTTTACAAAACAAACATAAACCTACCATACAACTAAGACTTTAAGGTTGTGTAAGAGACTTTATGTACTAAATCCAATAGTTTAAGTAAGAAATCAAATGATCGGTAGAGGAATCAATAATTATATAAGCATATAAACGTGATTTTAAAGAGAACAAATTCAAGAATGCTTCATGTTGGTAGTAGCATGTTGGATATATAGTGTAAAATTACACGGGAATTCTACGAACTGATATGTATTTTCAGTTCTTACAAATAATCTAAAAATAGAAAATTAC